GCGTTATCAGCTGTATAAGGGAATTCAAAATGAATGATGTATTTGTTGGTGCAGCTGAGGTGAGCCACAAAGCCTTACCGTGCTTTGATGGGCTTGCAGAAGAAGGGACGTACTTTGGTGGCGGTCACATCGTCTTAGGTTTGGCCTTGTATTTCAAAAATCTTAATGCTGCTGATGCGTTTCAATCATCCACACACTCATAAAGAACATTTCTATTCTAGATAACTACTTCACCATTGGCTCGCACTTTTTGTTGTCCTTCAAGCTGCGCCCTCAACACCTCACGGGTCTTCTCTTCCACGTTCAAAGTGATAAGACCAGCCTTAATGTGTTCTTAATGGAAAACAAGGTAAAAACCTCTCGCTCTTGTGACAGCTAATTAGGTAGCAATTCAAAAGAAAAGCTGCATGAGATGACAAAATATGTTATGTTTTACCAGGTGGGCGTCAAAGCAAATGATGGTAATGGAGCTGTTAGTGTCTCAGTAACACCTCGTAAAAGCCTCTGTGATGGAAAATTTCACGAGGTTACAGGTAGGACATCGTGTATTAAAAACATCCAAGAACGTGAGTCACATGTTGATAGTTGTGCTTTTAAAATTCTTCTGTTATTGTTGTTTCTCAGTCTCCAAAAAAAGGAACGCATTCCAATTAGTGGTTGACTCCATGTCCAAGGAGAAAGCAGGCCCCAAATCCACGTCATATTCAACGGCCCTGGAATCGCTTCACATTGGGGGTAAATCCATGAACCGCTGGGCATTATATCTTTCAGAGAGTATCAGCTTTTTGTCGTATAATCTGATCAGAATCTCTTTGTGCTTTTTCCTTTCCTGAATTAGGGACAACAAATCACAATGGAGCCCCTGTGCCTTCACCTTTTGTGGGCTGCTTGCGAAATGTGAAGATTAATGGAAAGCCGGTTGCATTTGAGAAAGCCTCCAGAGTGGTCGGTCCAGTGAGCATCAACAGATGCCCCACAAACTAATGAAATACATCATAACAAACAGGGATGGGAATAGTAAACCTAGTTAGGCTGAAATCAAGCAACAATTTTTCCAATATAACGGAATTGTATTTCTCTAAGCTTCAGGTCCTTTTTTCCACCACGGGAATGTTTTCCTCACATTTGCTCATTACAAAGCAATGACGCCAAACTCATGATAGCGAGTTGTAAATCACCTGAAAGCTTATTTTCTACTCTCCCTACACTGTTCCAGACTCATTGATATTAAAATAGTCGCCCTGAAGCAGAAAACCTGTTACGGTCTAGTTTTATTTCCTCAGAGAACACTGATAAGGTGAGAAAACTGATAGACTCACTTCAATGCAGCCACAACACCATCTAAGAGCACAACAGCAAAATTTGCCATAAATTTAGCAGTGGATTTTAAACAAATCCACCCCAATCCCATATAATAGCTGCGCTAATCACCCCGCCCCACAGCAAGAAGGTCTTGGGTTTGAATCCAGCAGAATCTGTGGCTGTTCCCCATCGAGTGTGCATGCTCTCCCCATGTCTGTGGGGGTTCTCACCAGGTACTTTGTCTTCCTCACACATTCCAAAGGCATCCATGTTATGTTAATTGTTCATTCTAAATTGGCTGCAGGTGTGAGTGTGAATGGATGTTTATCTATCTGCGTTAGCTCTGTGACGGATTTGTGATCTGTCCACAGTGCAACACACCTCTCACCCAATGACACCTGCGATAAGCTCCGGCATTACCATGACCCTGACTTCCATACACTG